TCGGCTTGACCCAGAGTCCAGACACTTTTGAAGCTGCTCGTTTGTTGTCCTGAAAATGACTAAGAACTAGTTCAAATGGAGCTGAAGATGATGAGACTTTCTGGCCCATCGTGGGATAAGCTTCAAGAAAAAAGAATATAAGGAGAGGAATGAGAATGAGAAGAAGTAGGATGGGAAGTCTATAGACAAGGCGGAGCTCTGAGCAGAGGGTGACCACAGTATGAGATGGCAGTTCCCTAGAGGGAGAAATGAAAATCTCACAGCATGTCTAGTCAGCTGAGAAGACTGCCCCTGTTCCTTTCCCAAAAAGATTTGGCCAGCCTGGATTCCACGTCAGACTCAACCAGAATCTTGCGTCTGGCCCACCCAGATTCCAGGTGGGACTGGGCCAAGACTCTGGGTCGCTCCTGTCTGGATTCCATGTCAGACTGGAGCACGACCCCTCAACAGAAGAGGAGTCAGGGTGTCCCCCATTCTCCTCCAGCTCTGGGATCAATAGTGCATCCGCCTGATCTCTGTTGAGCCCCAGGAAGTCCAGACTACCAAAAAGCGAGAGAGAGAGAAAGAGAGAGAGAGAGAGAGAGAGAGAGAGAGAGAGAGACGAAAGCAGGCAGAACTTACCAAGGCGGGCTCCGGTGGTGCTTTTGTGGGTCTGGGGTCTCTATTCTCGAATCCTGAATGAGCCCCCACAATGTTAGGGGTCAAGAATCAAGACTAATTCCCACAGATACCTAAAAAGATTATGCAAAAAGTTTATTCAAGAATTTAAAGTAAAAAAAAAAAAAGACAACAACCAAATGGCGGCTAGCTGGGCACAGACTTCATGAGCCAAAGACGGAGTCTGGTCCAGAACAATAGCAGCCAGGAGCTTTTATTGGGGCACTCCACAGAAACCCGTGCGTGCCAAGCATCTTTTTAAAATAATTGGATATCCCCATATTCTGTGTATGGGGAAAAGTCTTGACTGGTAGGGGCTGTCTTCAGGACATTGGAATGTGCTGACTAATATCTTTTACAGTCAAAAGTTTTTGTTCATACCTTATAAGGCCTTTACACATACATTATGTCTGAGCTTTGTCTAAAGAAGCTAGCCAAAATGGAATCAGAGCATTCTGACTCTTCAAACATGTTTGCGTGACTGTTCTAAAACATGAAAGGGTCATGCCAGCTTACAAATTCATCTACAGTATTTGAGGGTTAGACACAACCATATTAGCAAATGTTATGGCTTTTTAAAGAGTTTTTTAGTTGAATTTATTGAATTTTATGTAATTTTTATCGTATTTGTGCTCCTCCCATCTACATTCCCCTTACTATCCCCTGTCCAACTTCATGTATTCTTTTATATATATATCTACAAAAGAGTATATTTATATATTTTTTAAGACCTATAAAGTCAAATTTGTGCTCCCAGATGCCCTTTGGTGTGGAATCCATCCACTGGGGCCTCGTCAACCTACCCAGAGTCACAAGCTTAAAGAAGATTGACTTTCCTTCTCCCAGCTGCTATTGGTTGCCAATAGTGCTTCGGCTGGGGTTGGGGTTTTTTCCCACTTCCCCAGTTCTATACTGGTATTTTCTGTCTGGCTTGAGCATAGGTGGGGCTTGTGCATGCTGTCACCATTGTTGTGACATCATATGAACAATTCACCTGCTGTCTGGAAAACCATTTCCTTGTGGTCATCTGCCTCTTCTGGGTCTTACAATCTTTCTCCCACTCTTTCATGATGATTCCTGAGCAGAAGTTTGATATAGGTATCCTATTCAGGGCACCTATTCATTCATCAGCCTCTTATTCGCTACATGTTGGTCAATTGTGTTTCACAGTGTTATAAGGCTACTACTATTATTCTGCTAAGTATAGTATTAAACTGACTCCTAATGACTTATTGTTATATCTATAAATTAATGTATCTCTCAACTCTCACCAGAGAAGCTTCTTCATGTAGTAGATGGTGATTTTTAATCTTTTCAACTTTAGCCATTTTGTGAGATGGATAATGGTATCTTTTCATTTTAATCCAGAATTCCCTAGTTATTAATTAATGAAAATAGATTATCATGTGATTACTACATTTGAATTTCTTCCTCTGTCAGTTGTCTACTTAGGCCTCTTGTCCAATGTTTTGTCATTAACTGGTCTTTACTGAAAATTTTCTATACTAAACACCCATACAGAATTACATAAAACAGACACAAGGTTTGGGTTGGATGCATCTGTTGTACATGTATTCCCTGCTCAGATTGCTTTTTCATTATTTTTATTAGTTGATTATCAGACATGATTAAATTTAATATACTGTAGTTCACCCATATGTTCTTCTTATTTTCTTTTACCTCTATCTTTTATGTTTCAATTTATAACCTACACAAAACTCATTGTGTGAAAAAGGGAGGATTTATCAGTTTTCTTTAAAAAGGCTAAAGGATTGACAAAGCACTTTTTAGAGTCACTGTTTCTCATGTACTCAAGGCCCATGTTATACACTTCCTTTTTTAACTGTATTATTATATTTCTTGGGCCTACTTCTATGATGAAACCTGTACTCATAATTGCTATCAGTTTATAATTTATCTTTGATCTTGTAAAAAAGCAATCTATGACTTGTTATTCTTACTTGTTTCTTTCTATAATGTATTTAATTTAATTTTTATTTTTAACATGTAGAAAAATATATGATTTGCACATATTAATGTATGATCATGTAATAGTCTGTGTATTTAGTGCATAATATCTAAATCAGGTTGAATGTATTGATCTTCTCAAATATCTATCGTATTTTGTGGTTAAAAACTTTCAGCACCCTTTCTTCGAGCTTTTTGAACCATCCAGTACATAATTCTTTTTTAGTCACCTGTACAGCAATTACCCAGAACTCCTTGCACCTAATTGTAACTTGTCTTGTATTAATAACTGTGAAGGAACTCCTGACAAAACAACTTACGGGAGGATGGATTTAGTTTGACTCAGAGTTTCAGAGGCTTTAAGTCCATCATGGTGGGCTTGGCACGACTAAATGGCTCCTGTCTCTTTCAGGGCGAGCTTGTGGTTGTTGCTGCCCATGTGGCAGTGGACCAAAAAGCAAAGAGGCTGACACTGGAAGCCTTTGAGTGCCTCACTATAACTCTCAAAGTCTTGCTCTCAGTGACCTACATCTGCCAACAGGGGCGGTTTCACATTGGAACCATAACATGCACCCAATGATCAGTCCTCCCCCTCTTCCCCCACTACCTACAGCCCCCTTCCTCTGTTAATCATAATTCTACCTCAACTTCTATGAAATCAGTTGTTTTAGATTCCACATGAGTTCAGTCATGGAGTTCTTATCTTTCTGTGCCTGGTTGACTTCGCATAACATCATGATCTCCAGTTCCATCCATATGGTTGCAAATGTCAGGATTCATTCTTTTTTGTCTGAATAATATTCTATTGCACATATATACATTCTCAATATCCATTCTTCTGTTGAGGGAAACTGGGGGTTGTTTTGTGATTGGTTTTCATTCCGATGATAATCCATGGTGCTGAACACTTTTCAATATACTTAGTGGTTATTTTTGCTCCCTTTTAGAGAATGTTGTTTAGATTTGTTGCTCACTTATTTCTTTGCTATCAAGTTTTTTGTTTGTTTTTTGTTTTTTATTTTTATTTTTTTTTTTAGTTTCTTGCAAATTCTGGACATCAATTTCTTGTCAAATGTATGCATTACAAATATTTTCTCCGTTCAGTTATTTCCCATGAACTCCTTTGAGTGTTCCTTTTGCAGTGCAGGAGATTTTAGTTTTCTGTAATCTCATTTGTCCACTTTTGTTTTCAGCTCCTGTGTGCCAGGGTTTTAGGTAAACAAAGCCCTTGCCCATTCCAGGTCTTGAACAAGTTCCCCTAAGTTTTCTGCAAGTGGTTTCATGGTCTCAGGTCTCTATGTCCTTAATCAGTTTTGAGCTGAGTAATCGGTGATAAGTAAGAATCTGTGTTCATTCTTCTGCATGTAGCTACCCAGTTTTTTCAACATCAGTTAATGAAAGGCCTTCTTTTCTTCAAGTGCGTTCTTAGTACCTCTGTTGAAAATTATTTGATGGTGTATACGGGAGTTTGCTTCCAGGCTCTGTGTTCTGTCAAGCTGACTAGTCTCTGTGTCTGTTCCTATACTTTGATTACTGGATCTCTGTACTGTGTTTTGAAGTCAGGTAGCAGAATTCCTCCTGATTTAGTCTTTTTGCTCAAAATGGCAGTTTTGTTGTTCTTTTTTATTTTGTTTTGTCTTTGTGCTTCCAAACATTTTAGAATTTCTTTTCTAGTCCCATGAAGAATGCCATTGGCATTTCAAAATAAATCACTTAAGATAGTATAGAGGTTGTGGCAGTGTTGAATCTTCTCTTCCATGATCTTGAGATATTTTTCCACTTTTTTGTGTCTTCTTCAATTTATTTCAAAATGCTTCACAGCATTTACTGTGAAGATATTTTACATATTTGATTAAATTTATTCTTATGTGTTTTATTTTTGGAGTTATTATAAATGGGTTTGCTTTCTTAATTTCTGCTTCAAATAATTCACTATTGATATATAGCAAGGTTACTGTTTTTTTAAACCTTTTATTGAAATTTTGTGTATCTCGTACACAACATTTTAATCATCTTTATGTCCTCTTCCCCATTGGCTACTGGGTTTTATATGTTGACTTTTGTACCTTGCAATGACACTGGGTTTATTAGTAGCTGGGGTCTTTTGGCGTTTGAGAGCATTCTATAGGTCATGTTAGCTGTAGTTAGAAAGAATTTTACTTCTTTTCCAATTTGGAAGCCCTTTATTGCTTTCTAAGACAGTATGACTCCCAGTTGAGGAGGAGGGGAAGGGCAGTTGCTTATTGGACGTGAAATTTGGGTTTTAGAAGATGAAAAGTTGCGGAAATTCTTACACAACCATGTGAACACTCTTAAGCCAACTGTTCACTTGTAATAGTTAAGACGGTAAATATTACACTATATATATTTTACCACAATTAAAAAACTAATATTATTCTTTAACTTAAAATTTTGATGAATATGGCCAAAAAACAATGTGCGTGTGTTAGCCCAAAAGTAATTTCAAAACTATATTCAAGTACTATTTTCATCTTTAATATTGTCAAAAATGAAAGAAGTAGTCAACACATCCAGCTGAGAGGGATTTTTGTTTTTAAACAAACAGCTGCACATTACTGGGAGGAAAGAAATTCAGCATAAACCTTTTCGACAGGAAATTTGGAGCTATCTAACTAAATTGCATGTGTTTTCCAATCCACTCGGCAAGTCTAGCTCTAGAAATTTTCCCTAAGGTATCCCTAATACAAAATCCCTAATACAAAAATAACTGTGCACATTGGAGCCCTTCTTATGACCGAAAATTGTCAGAAATACAGACAGCTCTCCAGATCCACACGTTTCAAATCGATAGATTCGGCCAACTGCGGGTGGAAAACGGTAGAAGCAAACCACAAAGAAATGCATCTGTAGGAAGCACGCACAAGTTTTTGTTGTCGGTATTCCCTGTACAATATTTCCCAGTAACTATTCAAATATAATTTGCATTGTGTTAGATAGTCTAAGTAATCCAGAGATGAGTTAATGCATGTGGAACGATACTTCCAGGCTATATGCAAACAAAATGTCATTTCATATGAAAGAATTAATT